GAAAATGTAACAATAAAATTAACATCATATGGTATCTCTAGCTGTGGAAGCAGATAAAAACAGACAAATTTAAACTGTCGTTACAAATCAAACTAAAACCATCAAAAATAATTTTAAAACGAAAAGTCAATGCTGAGAATGAAAATAGATACACATTAAATAAAGAAAAAAGGAAACTAAACCACAAATAAGTAATCAAACAATACTAATCTATTATCACGTATGTATCGGTCAAACTATAGTAAATTCCTATAATATGTTTATGTTCCACCCACATTCCTCGTCATTTGCATATACATAATTATAAAGAAGTATAAATATGCATAATACAATTAAGTAGAAATTAATGTATAAATTTTCAGAACTTGATAACATTCTCGCCTAGTATAAAACTGAAAAATAGCTAGTATCTTCTTTAATAAGTAAAGATGCGACATAATTGTTAGTATAGATATAGTTCATTGTATGTTTTAGTTTGCTAGAATGGAACAAAACTAGAAAATACTGGATGGGTGCAGTACCAAGTAAGTTGTTATTTTATTTTTTTAATACAAATTAAATTAGGTATACTTTGTAACATGACAAGAGTAAGTAGGTATTGCATTGAAAATTCATCTTATACAAAGAAACAGAAAGTTATTTTATCAAATTTAAAAAAAAATGTGTTTTGCAAAAATCTTATATTTTTGTCTCAATAAACCAATAACTTTTCTTTTTTTTGATTTTATTCGTGGCAGGGATTTCATTTTGTTTGTATTTTATTAAAATATTAAGCAAATAATAAAAGAAATGTTCACCCTATTCTCATTATTGTAGAAGCTGATTAAAAATATTTTTATTATTAAACATGTTTAGAAAATATTAACATCTCATTTTTGTTGCAGGATTCTCAAGCAGTCGAAAAATTCTAGGACCAAAATGAAGCAAATAGAAGATAAGTTGAGCAAGCTTGAATGTTTTGTTTATAATTTCAGTGGATACAGCTATGGATATTGCATAGGCAGATACAAAAAGGAAAAGCACATTCAAGTTTGATGCGACTGTACAATTCGTTATAAATATTTGTGTAAGGTGAACATTTGTTTTTTCTTTCGTGTTTAATTAGATAACAAAATAATTTAAGGTTGTAAAAATTTGAGAAATGCCCTATGACAGCTATAGGATGAAATCATGGGTCAAGATTAAGCAAAATTTTGTTATTTTATCGTGGGTATTAGATGTTTCTATTAGAATAAGCTAGTCGTATTTGTTAAATATTAGTAAGTACATACATTTTTGTTTCTTTCAAAAATGAACATATTCTATTATTTTATTATGAGATAGTTACCTTTAATATGTGTAATTTAGCACTAATAGTGTAGTATTTTAGTGTAGTGGTTTAACATAATATTATATATGTACTTAACATAGAAGTTACTTAAATTCGTTTACTGTTAATGTGTTTTTCAAATACTTTTATTTTAATATGTACAACTTAACCTTATCATTTACCGTCCAGTATTTAAGATTGTCAAATATCATGTAGGTGCGACATTTAGGTAAAACAGCAAAAAGGGAGTTCAACATAATTATTTTGTATTTGTTGTGTCTTCTACAATAAATTTTATTTTGAAATATTTCTTTTTATCTTAATGGCAACTACTAAACCTACGCAATTGATATAAACTCATCGATAACAGTATAAAAAAATTACATCTTTTATTGGTATTAAATTTAAATTAAGAAAAAAGATGTAGCTATTCAACAAGTGTTTGTCTAGGGTATCCAAGCTTATAATTTAGAAAACAATAAATTTTATGTTGCGCGTTTTGCTGAAAATGTGTTCGTCATAGGGTAATGTCCATGGTTTACATAGAAAAGGAAATGAAAATATTGCGTGGGTTTACCTCAGGTAGGAAACCGCGCTTTCAGCATTCCTGATGTCTTTTTAATCCAAATAGAACCCGAAATTGTACGCACAGCCACTAGAACCACCACACTAAAAAGCATTTCGTTAATTGTTATAGTTTGACAGCAAAACCGAGACTAAAGCCCGAGTGACCCAGTTTTGCAAGATGCACCATTTCCACGGGCAATGCAGTATACGCGCATAGTTGCACTGCACTAGCACCCACCTTGATGGGGGTGGCATAGGGTGCACATCCCCTGTGGCGACTACTCAGTATAAAAAAATTCGAATATAACACGTTGACAAAATTTAATTTTAAAGTTTTGTGATTTTATTGTGTCCTGAAATTGAAAAACTTATTTAATTGTAAATTTATGAAAAAATTAATTGTTTGAAATAATTCCTGATTACACTAAACTGTTAAAAATGTTACTACCTTCTGACAATTGAAATAACATGACATTTGTCAAATTAGTTGTCAAATTATTGTTGTGTCTGAATAGTTTTTGCCGAAAATTTAAATAAAAATGCCTGAGAATCGCTTAAATTATACTAGTGAGGATTATTTTAATTTGTTTGATATTTATGGAAACTGTAGCAAAGTAATTTCAAGATTATGTAGAGAATCTGCTGCTTTCTTCCATAAATAACAAACAAACTAAAATAACCCTCATAAGTATAATTTAAACGATCCTCAGGCATTTTTATTTAAATTTTCAGCAAAAACTATTACAGACATAACGATAATTTGACAATTAACTTGACAAATGTCAAGTCATTTTAAATGTTTTGGAGTATTTCTGGTCATGGCCAATTTGACAACAGATCTGATACGAGAAAAAGTGTCAAAAAAGTAGAAAACTGTAAATATCTCTAAAAGTAGTAACGGCAACCCTAACAATGGTTACATGGCTTGAAAGGAAATTTCACTATGCATACGATAGAGTAAAAAAATACAGGGTGTTCCATTTAAGTTAACAAAGTTATAGCTGTTTGAAATTATCATAATGTAACAGCAAAAATGAAACACCTAGTATTAGATGTTTCAACTTGTTGTATACCATAATGTAGTGTTACCTATGCCCTTTACAGGTACCAAAAATCCACTTGATATCACGCTCCTGAAAAGAGTTACTAGCATCTCCGCGGACCCTTGCATCTGTCAAATTTTTTCTTTAAATATTAATATCTCAAATTCTATAACTCCTAGCTATAGAGAATATTTAATAAAGTGACCCTCAAATTTCACATAGAATCCTAAAATGCAGTAATATATAGGGTGTCCCATTTAAAATAACGAAGTTGGTGTCTACTTCCGGTATAACCGGAAGTGCTGGAGAGTTGTACATATTTTAGTTGTGTTTGCCTCAGGGACATTGCCATGTTGCCAAATTTTCAAATTTTTCGGAGCAGAACTTTCTTAGATATCGATCGACGCAGTTCCCGGTGGGATATCCTGTACATACAGGGTGTTTGGTAAGTCGATGCATTCCTTGCAGGAGGTTATAGTACAAGTGATTTGTGATATATTTCCTTAATATACCATATTCCAAAAACGCTTAGTTTCCCATCTACAGGGTGTTAAAATTTTAATAAAAAAATGCAAATTTATAAATATTGCGGAAACCGCTCAGAATATTTTAATGAAATTTCACAAGCTTTGACAGTTAACAACAATACATGTTTTACGATAAAAATATTATTTTCAGATTCACCAGTGGCGTGCGCATACGCACGTCTTTGGATATTTTTAAAGAATAAATGATCTGCCACTGATGTTTCTTAAAATAAAAATTATTCTTCAGTTCCTTGTTCAATTTAGAAGGGAAAAGGTATATTGTTAAATTTTGTGATTTTGTGTAAAATTAAAGTATTCACAAAATTTCATATCTACAACCTTTTGAAGTTTTCGACAGTTAAAAAAATGTAGGTACTTTTCTCGGGGTCACTTTTAAATTTTTCACAAAATTGAACATCCTGTATATAAAATAAAGACAGTAGATTATTTTAAAGACTTTGACGATGAGCACAATTTTTGTAAAGAAGATTATTTTCCTGTACGTAAATTTATAAATAATGGGACACAGTTGTGAGACACACAGTATACTTTGACATCTACTAATAATCAATTTTAAAATGAGGCTGCATAAACCTGTTATTAAAAAAAAAACGTGACAAAAACGGTGCAAAATCACACCGTTCTATTTATACTTCAAATTAAACAATGTTTTAAGGATTTTCAGTCACATTTCACTGATTTACTTGTGATGACAATTAGTAGATGGTAAGTGATATTATGCTAAAAAGAATAACAGAGCTAAACAAAAAATTATCTACTACAATATCATACCGAGCCTTATCAATGTATATAACATTAAACAATAATTTGCATTATTAGTACATTTCTTATCTTATCGAAATTTATTTCAATATCAGACATTACAGTAGTGTAGAATATGTACTGCTAGCAAACTAAGAACTGATCGGTAGTGTTTGCAGTCGACCCGGTTAATGTTGTAATAGTTACAAGCAAAACTACGAACACGTGAGTTGGGTCAAATTTGTAAATTATTGTTCAAGGTAGGTAGTAAGTATTTATTTTTATCAAACACCTGTCTTATCTGATGTGCAATTTGTCTACGAAATGTACCTGCAGATATCAACAGATATTGCCAAATTTTATTTTTCTGAATGCGTTTTAATTAATTTTCTCAACAGAATTAATTAAGTAAGTACCTGTTTAAATACCTAAATTAGAAGATCCAAATGCAGAGTATAAGAAATAAATCTAAATTCAAACAAGTGCTTTAAGATTCCATTGACCCAGTTTTAAATAACGTTTTTAATTCACAGTACATATTCCATTTGAAAAAATGTTAAATCGGGCTTGCAAGGCTTTTTAACGTTTCGAGAGACATGCAACTCTATTCTTCAGAGGAAACTCGTTCTGGTCATTAGTTTTAGTCGTTCAGTCGTTATCAAATTCCTGGTAATTCTAACCCCTCAACTCGATCGGAATCATTTCAACTCTTCTAGATAATTTCAATCTAGATAAGGAGTTAGAACTACCTGGAACTTGGAAACAAACGCCAACCTAAGTAGCATCATTAATGTAATAGCAACTATCAAAACGAACGATCTATATAAACGAAATTATTTTTTTTTGTTCACCAAAGTGGAGAATGATTTTTTGGTAGATAAATAGGTCCAATAACGTTTTTGGAACTGATTTCACTACTGTTAAGTGTGTTCCTTTTTAGACCAATAACAATACAGGGTGTCTCGTTTCAGACTACTTCGATTTTAATTTTGAAAATTTGGGCAATAGTGTTTTCGGTCATGACCTTCTCAACTAAAATAATGGCGTCGACCTAACGCTTCCGGTTATACCGGAAGCTGACGTCATCTTCGTTATTTTCAATGGAACACCCTGTACATTATTGCAATTTTAGATTCTACGTCAATTTTTAGGTGAGAGTTGCACGAACAAAATTTTGACAGAACATAGCTAATACAATGCGAAACATCGCCTTATTGTTAAAAATGCTGTCACCGCCGTTCTTGGCGGTGACAATTCGAAATATTTGAAATTATTCAATTTTCGTGGCTGAAAACATATGTAGACATTGTCGAAACCAAGAGAGTTGCACGAACAAAATTTGGACAGGTCATACCTAGCTAATATAATGCGTAACATCGCCTTAATGTTAAAAATGCTGTCACCGCCGTTCTTGGTGGTGAAAATTCATAAAGGTATTAGTCCAATTAACTAAGCCTTTAAATCGAAATTTTGTCAACTTGGCTGAATTTTTGATATGAGTTAGTTTAAGGTATATTATAACAATAAATGACAGTAATTTTTTGTTCAACCCCCGGCCAAGGGTGGAAAAAGATAAAACAAAGGGCTTTTTCAAGATAACTCAAAAAGGGTAAGAGCTAGAAAAAAAAGTTTTTCATGAAAGTTGTAAAGCAGNCGGGCTTGCAAGGCTTTTTAACGTTTCGAGAGACATGCAACTCTATTCTTCAGAGGAAACTCGTTCTGGTCATTAGTTTTAGTCCATCAGTCGTTATCAAATTCCTGGTAATTCTAACCCCTCAACTCGATCGGAATCATTTCGATTCTTCTGGACAATTTCAATCTAGATGACAAGCTATAAAAACCTGGAACTTGGAAACAAACGCCAACCTAAGTAGCATCATTAATGCAATAGCAACTATCAAAGTGACAATAAAATGTTTGGTCGCCAACGATCGGTATTACCCATAAACGAAATTATTGGTTTTTGTTCACCAAATTGGAGAATGATTTTTTGGTAGATAAATAGGTCCAATAACGTTTTTGGAACTGATTTCACTACTGTTAAGAGTGTTCCTTTTTAGATCAACAACAATACAGAGTGTCCCACGGTAAAGAGACATTAGATATATTTCAGACTACTTTGATTTTAATTTTGCAAATTTGGGCAATAGCGTTTTCGGTCACGCCCTTCTCAACTAAAATAATGGCGTCCACCTAATGCTTCCGGTTATGCCGGAAGTTGGCGTAATTTTCGTTATTTTAAATGGAACACCCTGTATATTATTGCAATCAATTTTTGTTGGGAGTTGCACGAACAAAATTTGGACTGGACATAGCTAATACAATGCGAAATATCGCCTTAATGTTAAAAATGCTGTCACCGCCGTTCTTGGTGGTGAAAATTCATAAAGGTATCATATTCTTAAAGTTAACCGTTTTTGATATATTTAGATAACTTTTTTTCAAAAAGATGTATATTTCACAATAATAAAGTTAGAACGATAAAAATAGGGGACATAACTAAAACTCTAAGCTTCTATGTCATAATTTCAAAATGACTTAATTTCATGCAGGGTGGTAGAAATTTAATGCCGAATTTAGTCAACTTTAAACCATCTTAACTTATTTTTTTTAAATGGAACAGCCTGTATATTTTTGCGCAAGTAAGTTATGTCCCATAAATTTTATCGGTCTAACTTTATTATTGTGAAATACACATCTTTTTGAATTAGGCAGTGCATTTTTATTATTTTTTTTAATTAAATATATCAAAAACGGTTAACTTTAGGGAAAGGAAACCTTTATGAAAGTTCACCTAAAAATTGACGTAGAATCCAAAATTGCAATAATATACACGTTGTTCCATTTAAAATAATACCATATATAAACCATACGTTCTTTTTCAGAAGCTGCTATGAGTTTCGTTACTAACCAACAACTCCAAAAGTTAAGATGCTTGAAGTGTCGAAAGTATCTATCATATTTCCCGATATATCAAAGTTACGACCAGCAAGGCTGCATTTGTGGACGATGCTCTGTCGAAGGCAACGTCGAGAGGAACACCATCTACGAGGAAGTAACTACAATACAAAAATTTCCTTGCTGTTATGATGTAAATGGTTGTCTGGACAGTTTATATCCAGACGAGGTGCCCATTCACGAAAAAATTTGTAAATTTAGAACTTATGACTGCCCATCAAACACCACTAGTAAATGTAAATGGCGAGGATTAGTTAAAGACATGTGGGATCATTTCCAACGGCATCACGCGATATACACCATCAAAAACAACGAATTTGAAATTGATCTCGTTGGAAACTATAGCGAAAATTATCTGTTGAACGTTGAAGATGAGTTGTATATTGTTAATCAAAGTAACTCCAGAAGCAATAGCTTTTCTTGCAATGTTTCCTATATAGGAAGCAACATAAACTCCCAAAGATACTCATATAAACTCACTTTTACGAATATGAGGAACAGACTAAACAACTTTGCGATCAGCGAAAAACTGGGAGAAGGGATTAATCTAGATAGAACCTTTATCACGGAATCGTTAGGAAATCCCAGCGCAGTCTTGGTTCGTATCCAAATAGTCACACAAGAAGACAATGAAAACCACTTCGAGGAAGTTCAGTGGGAACTGCTGGAAGAACTGGAATGCAGCTATTGCTTGGAATTCTTGCTGCCGCCTGTTCAACAATGCATAACTGGCCACAGCATCTGCTCCAACTGCAAAATAACGCAGAGTGTGTGTCCGACATGCACCAAAGACTTCAAGGACACTGTCAACATAACACTGGGGAAGCTGATCGACCACTTGGTTTACCCTTGTAAGAATGAAGGGTGTAATTTCACGTGTAAGGCAAAAGATATAAGTGAACACTACTCCAAGTGTATTTATGGTAAATTTAAATGTCCTCTGCACGATTATGAAAATTGCAGTGAAGAGATATATTACACTGGACTATACGATCACATATTGACCAACCATTATGAAAACTTACTGGAAATGGACACCGTCAGTGTCCCTTTTAAGATTTATCATGAGGAAAATGAGACTGAGCCCGGAGATGACGACAAAAACTTAAATGAAGATTGCTTCATATTAAGATACGATTTTCGACTGTTCAAGCTGCATTATAAGTATGAAAATGGTATGTTTCAGTGGGAAATGCAACTGATTGGCTCTACAAATGAAGATAAAAAATATGATTTTGAAGTAGACGTCGTGGATAACAGGAGAAACCAAAGGATATTTTTTAAAAGGGAATGTAGCACGTTAAGTAGCAAGACTGAAGCTTTTGCTGAGGACAGGTCTTTTATATACATAGATATTGATCAGGTTCACAGCATGATCGATGAAGAACTTATATACTCTGTACGCATTTTGCCTAAATCTTAATTTTAAGAAGATCAAGAAGAGTATCTATCTTCATATTTTATATTAATGTAATTTAACTACATAAAATATAATAACAAAGACAGCATTTTTAAATAAAAATGTGTTAAAACTCTATTTTTTACTTTTTGATATAAGTTTGGCAAGCAAACAACTATTTCAAACATCAATTGGCATCATTAAGCATATGCAACCGTTTTAACACATATACAATATTTCTTGCCAACGAAATGAATATACTTATGAGAATTATTTATGAAACTATATTTACTTGTTTGTTACCTATCATATATGATGAAAGTGTGCTTTCTGTACACTTTTTTAAATGAAAATAATTACTTCAAAGTACTTATTTAATTATTACAAACATTGATTATGGTTTGCTAAATAAGTATTAGGTAACATTTTCTGTGTACTTGTATCTGTATTTCGGCTAATCTATTTTATATATGTATATAAATAACACACCTATAAATATTTATTATTATTAAGTGTAGTTTAAACCAACAAATGGAAATAATATATTGTTATAATTAATTGAGATATAGAAATTTGTCTTACCTTAATTTTCTTATTCTGCTTAAATTCTTCTTCTTTGTATTTTACTTTCTTGACTGGGCGCCAGCTCACATGAACATATAATCGTACTTTAATCAAAATTTTTGTTCACGATATTTTGAGGAACCTTTTGTTTGAAAACAAATTAAGATATTATCAAATTTTAATCTAACATGAGTAGTAGTCTCACCTCATGGTAAAGTTCTGTGAAGATTAGTAAACTAATTTTAAAATATTACTCTGATTAATGAATTTAGATATTAAATCTTGAGAAGGCAAAGACAAAAAAAAATATATATATATATAAATTTTACTTGACTAGTTATTTTATTTCTTGTAAAAAAAAAATCTAATTCATTTAATGAATTGAATTCACTATATTTCCAATTAAAATAATGTGACTGGCTAACAATTAATTTTAATATTTTATTTTCCCAATTTTATCCGATCTTCGATCAATAAAAAATGTTTTATATTAAGGTTGTATATCTTTCTATCACTGTCTAACACTCTTATTTCTTCTCTTGTTGGTCCTTTCACTCCTCTAATCCTGTTCTGAACCGTCGGCGCGTTCTCTGCTACAAAGTAGGGCGCCGAGTTAACGGGAGTTACGGGGTAATTTGCTTATTTTTTAAAAGGTCGAGTAGAATTTTTTTTCGATATTCTGTCTTTATTATGCCTTCGAATACGTGGTTAAAATTAATGACATTATGACTGAATCACCCTGTATATCTTGTACAGATATAGTTTAATCTTAGAAAGGGTCATATAACTGGTTTTCCCGTAATGAAATTAACAAATGAGAGGTCGCGCTGATATTTTTTTAAATTATAATACGTATAAAACTATATATTGGAATTTTCTGGGAATATAATTATTTTAAATAAAATAGTGGCCTTTTTATGAGTTCTGAATATACTCGATATGAATATGGTGGATAATTTAAATTGATTCAAGTGGTATGGCATTTGATATTCGCCTTGTCTAGGATTCAGTTTGTTTGAGAAGTACATAAATAGAAAGGTGTATATAGCAATAAAATTATATTTATTCATAATCAGAGTAAACATTTATTTAAAAAAAAAACTTTCACAACACTTGCATACATAAGTACCTGTCACACTTCCTGATATACAAAACTTTGGCCTGCGACCGATGTCCATCGAGGGTGATACCATTTACGAGAAAATAGTTTTCATACAAAAATTGCCTAAAGTTACGATGAAAACGGTTGCTTGGAGATTATGTATCCAAAGCAGGTGCCTCTTCACGAAAAAAAATTGTAAATTTAAACCATCCAATTGCACCGCAAACAGTTCAGCAAATTGTAAATGAAGAGGATTGATAAAAGACATATGCGATCATTCTAACAAACAATATGCAGTAAATGGCAATAAATTTGAGATTGATTTGGTGGCGTACTACAACGAAAACTATCTGATAATAAGAAAGGCAGCTGTTGCGTCGAAAGCATCTACTGCTTGGAATATATGTTACCACCTATGCAGCAGTGTATAACTGATCACAGTATTTGCTCAAACCACGTGTCCAAAATGCAAGATTTAATTCAAGAACATCGTGAAGCCTGATCAAACACATTATCTAGCCTTATAAAAATAAAAGCGAAGGATGTAAATTTACTTGTAAGGCCAAGGATATCAGAGAGCATGAAACTAGTTGTACTTAGGTAAATCTAAATGTCCTTTACAGTATTACGAAAATTGCTAAGTATCTTCCTGGAAACTGTACGATCATGTCATCAGTGACCACAGTGAAAATGTATTGGAGTTAGATACCATTTGCATCCCATTTAAACTTTACTACGAAAGGAACGAAGATAACGAAAACTTAAAGGAAGATTGCTTTATACTGAAATACGATTTTCAGTTGTTCAAGCTGCATTACAAGTACGGAAATGGTGTATTCCAATGAGAAATGCAATTAGTCGGTAATTCCACGGAAGATGAAGAGTATAATTTTGAAATAGATGACACAGATTTCACCAGTAATCAGAGGGTAACCGAAGCTTTTGGTGAAGATAGATTTTTCATTTATATCAATTTAAAACTGGCTGTATGGTTATCAACGAGTTTACTTATTTTGTACGCATTGTACCTAAATGGCAGTGACTGAATAAATAATGAAATAGATACTTTATAATACATTTTTAATATCACTAAAAAAAGTTTACTTTTATCTATGAGATAAATTTATTGATTTTTGTACACATTCCACGTAAATTAACTGATGAAATTAGGTGTTTTATACTTTACAAGCCTCTTGTATAGTTTTGGAAGGCAAAATATTTGAAAGGATCGATTTAAAACTGTCTACAGGACACATCACTGCGCACCCTGGGATGTTTAAGTCTTCGGAAGTTGTGGCTTCTGGGTCACTACGATACCTCATCTAAAAAAAATAACTATTTAGGTTCGTACTTGCTTATGTTGTAACATATTTGGGTAACGTTTGTCAAAAAGGAAACCATTACCAAACTGAAAAAGTCCCCAAAGGCACAATCAATTTTTATAGGAGGATTTTTATTTTGTGTAAAAAAATTTGGTGTATGGTTCCATTTCTATAAACGTTACCCAATTTAAAACCAAAGCATTTTTAATGTAAAGCCTATAAAACCAATAAAAATTTTATTTATAGTGGTACAGTGTTGTTCCCTATATGTTGCAACACATTTTCATCTGCTGATTTTGGAGACAAAAAAATATCCTTCAAGGCGTCGGTGGTCGTGGGTTTGTTGGCATAAACCTTAGACCTCAAAAAAAACCAAAGAAAAAAGTCCAAGGGTGTTAAATCGTACTATCTGACCAATTCTGGTAAAACCAAAATGGGAAAATATACCACCAGGAAATGACTCATACAGTAATTGAATTGTTTCTCGGGCTGTATGGCATCTGGCACAGTCTTGTTGAAACCACATGTCGTCTATATCCTTATCCTGCAATTTACGCACAAAAAACTGTATTATCATGTCGCGATAGCGAGCACCATTAACTGTTATTGCCTGATCAGCCACATTTTCGAGGAAGAATGGTCTGGTCCAGCCCAAAATGACCCGTTATGGGTCCCAATCACTCGTGAATTTTCTGAACCCCAAAATGCGACAATTTTGTCGATTAAGGAAGCTATCACACGCTCTGCGTGGTCAGTAGGCTTCAGTTCTTGAGTCAATTGCACTTTATAAGCATGAAGATACAAATCTTTAGTGAGAATACGCTGTACTGAGCTTATAGAAATGTCCAATTCTTGACCACAGTGCCGAATTAATCTCCCTGCACTCTCAGCAACACTCTCTCATGAACCGCTTCGATGTTTTGTGTTGAACAACTTGTTGAAGGACGGCCACTAATTGAAATAATGTCTTAATTTTTTAATTAGTCAGTTCACAGTTGATGAAGTTAAATCACTATTCCTACCTTTTTTTTTTCTTTAGTTGCTTAGGTATTAGCAAAAATTCCATCCATCACTCCTACATTAAATATGAGACATATTTAACAAATGTGTAGATAAAATAAAAGGGAACACACAGATATAAAATACAAGAAATTGATTTGATCAATCATTGTTAACAAATATTTGTTTACCCTTATATAATATTCATCTTCCAACTTCCTAAGTTCAAAGGATATAGCGCTGCCGTAAGCTGGAATAACCGTTTTATTTTGAACTCCCAGAGCATCCAGCATGTACCCTACAGTAGACTCGTGGCCAGAATACAAGTATATCTTTCTCTCACTAGCTGCGTTGCTAATTTTAGCGTCACTGTCGTCCAGAATTTTCTTCAGCAGGTAACCAGAATTGATCTGTTTTACGACAGAATCATAATTGTGGTAAGCGTATACGTAAGAAGCGGCTGTTTCCACTTTTGCAGGATATACCTCTTGTGTCCAATCAGGAAGGGTGTAGTTCATGTCTGCCTAAAAAATCAACAATTGAATGGGTAAGTCTTTAAGATGTGAAAGTATCATTTAAGCCTGTATAAAAAATTTAATTCGTCTTACCTCACATTTCAAGATGAAGAAAATGTCTTGCATGTCTGACGGTTGCTTCATTGATTTTCCAGAGTTAGTTTCTATGTATTCGTAAATCTCCTGGAAAGGCTCTATGAATATTTCTTGCACCTTAGGAATGGTTGACAGTTCACTTAGTACCTTTATTTTGTAAGGACAGTTCGATAGAGGGTGAAATAACTAAAAGTAAGTTTATAATTACATATGCATATAAATGCATTAGTTCAATGTTGATTCGTCTAAGTTATAATGTTCCAAAAAATAACGTTTGCACCACATTTTAAAGTCCCAATACTAAGGCCAATATTGGATTACACACATAATTTCAGAAACACAAAATTTCACCAATTTTAAAATGACTTAAATGAACATTCCTTTATACTCAAATGAAAATTATCGCCCCATAGTTTTTAGTAGAGCAATAAATTTATTGTTAATGTCAATTCGTCAGATTCTACCATAACAAGAACAGAACGGTACGTACATCTTCTTCTGAATCAGGTTTGTAAGATACAGGAATAGGTAACCATAGTAGGTTTTCATTCCACACAAGTGATTGGCTGGGTGGAAACAACCCAGCTAACACCAGCTGAGCACTCATCTTAGTTCTTGTCACATCAGTACTTCTTACGTAGACCTTTCCTTCGGTATAATCTTCACCGAGGAATTCGCCATATAAGGATTTTAGGTATCTTCCCAATTTGTACTCACCCAATTTTCCTTCCTAAAAGTGAACAATTAAGTATAAGCGTAACATGAAAAATTCAAAATCAAGAAATAAATTACTCTTTTGTCTTTTAAAGATGTTAAGATAAAGGCATAAATATATTGCATTGGCTTAATATAAAACAGACATTATTTAGAAATTTCATAAATAGTTTAGAAAAAGGTTTTTAATGATTATCACATTATGTCACCCTTCATTTATTGAAAATAAAATTATGCTTGCAAGAGTATACAATTGCATTGTAGATGTGATAAATTGTTATTGCACAAACATTTTTTTTATTGTCTTATTATCATAATAGCTATTTATAAAACAATTATCCGATATAACATTAAATTTATTGATTTGTTTGTAATAGAATTGTAAAAGATTACTATAAAATTCTATTAAACTAATATCAGTTTAAAAAAAATGGGACAATGTTTCAATTTTGAAGCCTAGCAAACAGAATTACTCAAAACTGTTCTCAACAACATAATTTTCGAGATATAAGTGTTCAATTCAATATTTCAATTTTGTTTGCAAATGCAATTTTAGATACAATGTAATCATTAGAAGTTCGGAAACTTCAATGATGAAAATATTTACCACTAGCTATTCCTCAGAAAATTCAAGATGTCTACACCAGCAACTTTTTTTGATAATTATTACCTACATTGTATTGAAAACCGTATTTGCAACAAAAAATACCTATACTTTTTTTTGTGTGGACAATTTCAGAAAGTTTTCGTTGTGTGCTAATTATTAACAAACTTATTTTAAATTAAAAAAAAAAAAAACGGAAAAATAACAAGTTTTTCTAATAAAATGGAAGAAAGAAAACCTTTCTCTCTAAAATTCAATAAGAAATTAATAAAAAATATCCTTAGTTACTGTATAATATCCCCGTATGACCACCACTGGTTGTTGTAACTTCCACAACTTTTAAAAATTATTCAGGTAAGTCACCAGCTACCATTTATTAATCTACGTCATATATATTACGATAAGATGATTTAACTCGTCAAACTCGTCAAAAGCAGCAGATTTTGTATGTTTTTTCCTAATTCACAATTAAAGAAAGAATATTTTGTACCTTAAAATTTATATTTCTATATTTTATACAAAATAAATACTCCACTTTTTACTTTTGCGAATTATTTTGTTTATTGTTAACTCAATAAACTTTTTTAGTGTGACGTCACATATTTAGACAACCCGCAATAAATTATCATAGTTGGAATTGTACAGACCGAATCTGACCCTTGTAGATAGGTACTATAAAAATGAACAACCTCAAATTAATTTATTTTTACAAGGATTTAGAAGTATTTAAGAACAACCAACACGTGTTTGGTGAAATAGATACACTAATGTACTTAAAATTTACAAAAAAGATATAAAAGAATATTCCTAAATTTAAATAATATAAAAATATAACATTAACCGTGTTATGCCTTATGCGCAAGCTCGGGCAAAATAGCCTCATACGTATGTGAGATCTTTATGATATGTCATCATTAGCGTATTTTCTCTTCTTTTGTTTAATCTTGGCATTTTCTAGTTTTACTAAGTATTTCTATTGTTTTTCTAGGTGTTGTGCTGTGTCAGTGTATTTATCGAGTGTTTTTTTCGGCAAATGGTTTATTATAGACGTACTCTTAGCCAACACCAAACTTTTCTTGAATGATACCCTGTTGCGAGGCTACTTTGCTTACATGAAATTATCTTTAATGCGCATGCTCAGTAACATAGATATAATTTTAATTTATTAATTACTATAAAAGTCAATATTGTTCTATAGATTTAAATATATAAATTCTATAATTCTTTTAGTTTGTCACTTGGGGTTTGAAACTTCTTAAATATTTCTAATATTGCCAGATTATCGAGATATTTAAGGTCATGACATAGAAAACATTTTTTTGGCACTAATGTCCAAAGTACATAAGGTCGATAATCGATCTAGTAAAAATATTGGGAAATTCTTTATGACAATTCTATGGGGTTGCCTATTATTTGGCGTATGTGACGTCACTACTGAAAAGGTCTTACAGCCTTTCGAATTAAACTCTAGTGGCGGTTAATCAAAATTTAAAGAAAAAAATTAAAAGGGATTATATCATCTTAAGAACTACAGGGTTTCGAAAAAAAAATTTTAAACAATACAGTCTTTCGACTTAAACTGACTTACAAACTCCAGTGGCGTATAAATACGCCACTGGAGTATTTATACGCCACTGGAACTGGAATATAGATAATAAAAATTTAAACTAAAAAAAGAAATTAAAAGCGATTGTATGTGTATGAACTAAAAGGTTTCGAAAAAAAAACATTAGACAAATGTTGCTTTGATGAGGTAAACGTGTGATTTAAATATAAAGATTTATTTCTATAGTTGTAGGTATACTTACATTTGTAAGGTGTCCTTTACCAAAAGGATAAAATGTTTCATTTTTGTAAGGATCGTTGGGGTAAAAGGAATAAGTTGTTCTTGCTCCATGCCTAAAAATCTTAAATGAATCCATTTTACATTTTCTGTGTCAGTCAGAATATCTTATTTAACTTTACAATATTTTTCTTTGTAAAGACTTTACTCCCATAAATATAAAATTGGACAAATCATAATGTGTCAGATAAAAAATAGTAATATGTACATATATTTAATAATATTCAAAAAAAAAAATGAAGTATATTTTTAAGTTTGTGGTATAGCTACTATAGGGAATAAAATTTTATTATATGACATAAAAATTAGTAATGAATATTAATAGTTCAATTGTTTTAATACTTACTACTGAAACCAATAGTAGTTCCCCTTCGTCGTCATTTCTTAGTACATAAGCAAGTGGACACAAAAATAAACAGAACAAAACACACAACTTTACTCCAAACATATTTGTAAAAGTGAGGTAACAAATCTGCCGTGACAATCATTGTGAATTTTATCTTATACGTGCGCTAAAATCAGGAACGGATTCTACGATATTACCAATTGGACTTATCAGTATTTTTTCCATTTGAGAGAAATAAATATTATTTGTGGAAGATGCAGCATGCAGTAATTTCTAAACAAAAACACAAATATCAATAGAATAACAGATTGGTCAAATGGATTGACCTAAAAAAGTTGTACCAATTAAAAAGCGTTTGTCTGGATTATCCTTACTCAGTGCACATAAAAAAGGGCTGAAGGGTTGAATGTGACCTTGATCAATTTATTAAATAAGTACTGAGTACTTTTGCTATAAGGACACAGAAGTTTTACTTTTGTTAATGTTAAAAAAATTGTCTTTTGTGTTTATTTTATTTATTTTGTTTTGTAAATGGTGTGATTATCTTTATTTTAATTTTTCTTCTGTGTTACTTGCGGGGCACCGAAGCTTAATTCGCCTATGAAGGTAAGAGAACCTGCAGATCCGGTTCTGTTCATTTCAGATATCCCAAACCGCTAAAATGTTAACCAAATTTTCCCGTGGAAATGGTGCTACAAAAATTTCCTACATTTTTTTAGTTTCCGTTATGTCGCAAGACTCAAATGAGTACGTGAGAAATAACAGGAATGCTTGTGAAAACGTCAAATTCAATATTTTGGACTTTCCACTTTTTTCCAAAAGACGTATTAAGACTACATTAGTTTTATATTAAAGATTTCCAGGAATTGAAAATAAGATGCAATAATTAATGTCACGCATAAAACATTCTTCTAAATGAGGCAGTTTAGCAACAATTTTTACATATGGCACTTGAAACCAGCAAGTTGAAGTGTTTTGATAAGACTATTAGATTATAATCGTAATTCGTTATCTCTGTATGTATGCATAGCATAGAATCCGAAAAGATCGTATTTTTGCACTAACCCTAGCAACAAACACGAGAATTTATTGTTTGATTGTTTCAAAACATCAACGTACTTGTATTAAATGCTGTACATCCCAATCTATTAATTACTTCTCGTTTTGTAACTGTAAATTAGATTCAATAAATTTGGTACTTTTTTTTATTTACGCATTTCAGGACTCAAGTGAAATTTGTCCAGTTGCATTCAGTTGCAGAAACATTTAAGAACGGCCCTGTCTGTTTTAAAATTAATAAATACAGAAAAGGTCGAAGAATGTTGCACGTTTTGCTGTTCTATCAAGAATAACTTTCAGATGTAATATACTTAGTTCATATCTACATAATGGGTACATAAAATTGACATAAACGTTATTATCTTTCACATATAGCAGGAGATAGGTGTGGAATTTCACAAAAAAACTAATAAATAATTAATTTCAAAAGAGGTAATTAAATTGAAAAAAACCTGTTACTACTTGTACATAACATAAAAATAAATGCAACTATCCAAACTAACTGAAACCTGAATAAAATAATTCGTACTTATATAGGACGTAAATAGAACCATATGTATGCAACCAATTCTTCCTCTCACTGTAACAATTCTTGCCTATAACAGAATATTTACTATCCAGTGTGTCCATACCACAATACAAGCACTTATCTTTTACATTATGTATATTGTGCATTTTCTACTCTGTTATATTCGAATCACAGACAACAGACACAGATTCTTACATCAACTGAAATTGCATCCACTGTTGCCACATATTGAGATTTTTATGAGCTCATCGCTGAATCGTGATCGTTGTCTAAATAATTAGTAAATAGATTTCCTTCCTACGTTTTTACTTTTTTTTCCTGTAAACTTTATTGGTGCATGTTTAAGAAAAAGGAATTTTTGTATCTCGCCGACTCTAACTGTTGCTATGTTTCCAGTGGAAATATTTTAATTTGGCAACACCGAGCGCATTTCGCATTTCCAAACAGCAAGTTGAACTGACTGTTGATTAAGTGCTGACACTAGAAATTCGTTACGTTTTAAGTTTTTAACTTTTCTTCCTTCTTCAAAGAAAGGTATGTAAAACTTCAATGTATAAAAATTGACAGGTTGAAATATTTATAATAAATATTATGACTAAAAATCCAAACTTTCCTGAACTTTTATTGTTTTGTAAGTTAGGTTAAGTGGATACTGTACTATTCTTATCTATAATTTATTTCCTGTAATCCTGTATAGTTGTTTATTGAATTTACGTTTAAACCATTAATAATGCGTTGTTCTTGTTACACACAGTAATTGTTGTATACATCTACCAACATAATAGTACGCATTTTAAAATCCTAATTATCAGGAAACTTATTTTTCTTATCTGGAGAAAGCAACTTGGTTTATATTTATGTTTCGATTGCCAATGGGAAATACCCATTTTTAATAGTAACTAGGTGGTACCTACATTATTTTTAAATAAACAGGTCATTCAGCTGTTCGTTCATTATTTAAAGAAAATAAGTCTTGAATTTTAAAACATGTATAAAATTAGGAAGCAACTTTCCACCATTTTTCTTTTCAACCAAAACGTAATAATAAATAATGATGTCCCATGCCTATAAAATCTGTAGATATGTATTTAGATCATATTTTTGAAAATCAGTCTTTTTTAAGAAATTTAAAAATTAAATAAAAAATTATCAATTATTTGAAATAGGGGGAATCCCAGACAAGGAATGACCTTCAATAATTTGGTATTGTCATGTTATGTTTTTTGAGTTTTAACATTTTGAATTTGTATAATATGAATTTGGCATGTATTCTAAATTAAAGTAAAACAGTTAATATGTACTTTAATTCCAAAAACGTATTGTACCACCTTTTGAATTTTTTACATATAACCTCAATATATAGAATGTCCCATAATGGGGTGTTTGCATTAAAAAACTGTGTAGTGCTCTGTCCCTGAACATTATTCTATAATGAATTATGCTAACCTTATAAGCAGTTTCCCTAAAAACATATAAGTTTTTATTTGATTTAAAAAAATTTAATTTAACTTGTGACATACTAGATTTAAATAACTATTCTCTTACAAAATAAAAGGACAGTAGTATGAAATTTTAGTTGAGCTTACTCTTAATAGATGGTGCGTTCAAGGCATAGTTTAGCACATCACTTTAGCTGTCGGTAAATTCATTTTAGTTTTATATTATTTTAAATTTCCAGTTATATAATATAATAATTTCGTACAAAGTAAACCGATACGGGACCAGTTTTTTGTCCCATTATTTAATTTTCTGTTAATATAATTTTTTATTCCCAAATTTATGAAAATGTGTCATTTCTTATAAAAATTCCGGCTTGTCCTCAAACTCTTGAAATTGTTACTTCTCTTGAAATGTCACAGTCATCATTAATTAATTATTAAACTTTTTTACAACTTATAAAATATTCAGATAGAGGAAAAACTAAAACTTTGCCACAATAAATAGTGTCAAACAAAATTTAGTTTGTGTTATTTACTAACTTTATATTATGATGTCTGACAGCATTGAAATTATTTATTTTTTTATTTATTATTATTTTTTTTATCAGGACAGTCACGAACATGATTTTCGTACCGAGCCAGTCTCTCTCAAAGCTGGTTTGTGTCCATTGCAAGAACCATCTCTCCTATTTTCCAATCTACTTCCATCGAGAAAAGGGTTCGTTCTGCGGAAGATGCCCGATACCTGACGATTCAGACACTGTACGTAACGAGGTCTACGAATCCATCGCTCAATCTCAAAAATTCCCCTGCCGCTACAATTCCGACGGTTGCACAGAACATTTGATACCAGAAAAGATACCCCAACACGAAAAATGTTGCCCCTACGCAAAATGCCAATGCCCCGCACTCGTATCTGAAACATGCAAGTGGGAAGGATTTACCAAAGACTTGCACGACCACTACGAAGATAAACACCCAACGTTTCTCTTGCGTGATGGCCAGTTTGAGGTGGATTTCGTAAATAGTCACGAGGAAAATTGTCTCCTGCCTTATGGAGAAGATTTTTTTATAGTAAACAGAAGCAGTGATCCCAAATCGAACATATTTTCCTGTACCGTCAATTACTATGGTACTAATTGCAACGCTAACACCTACACGTACAAGATGATTTTGGAGAATGAGAGAAGGTCTCGGACTCACGTAATCAAGAAAAAATTAAATACTAGAGCAGACGTCAATATGGAAGGTCTTAGAAATATTTTGGATAACCCTTCCTCTGTTGTTGCCACCATAATTTTGGAATGTCCAACACCTGGCAACGTAACTGAAGAAGACAATGAAACTAGTGCTATAAATTATGAACTTCTGAAGGAACTAGAATGCACCGTATGTCTGGAATACATGTTGCCGCCCATCCATCAGTGTCTGACTGGCCATAGTCTGTGTTTGAAATGCAAGAACAGCGTTAAAAATTGTCCAACTTGCCAGCAGGAGTTCAAGGACACTCAGAACTTCACTCTTGCTAAAGTTATAAACCACATAACGTACCCTTGCAAAAATAGACGATGCAGGTTCACGGCAAAAGCCAGGGACATAAAAAAGCACGAGGCTTCTTGCATTTTTAGCACTGTGAAATGCCCTTTGCAAGATTATGAAGACTGCCACGCGGACATCATTTTCCAAGAAATGTACGATCACGTGGTGTCCAGCCATTCTGAAAACCTTCTGGAAATGGAAACAGTTAACATACCCTTCGAAGAGGGCGCAGATCAGGACGATGAGGACTGCTACATCATCAGATACGCCTTTCGATTATTTAAGCTGCATTATAAGTACCAGCACGGCGAGTTTTGTTGGGCCATGCAGCTGATTGGGTCTCCAGAAGACAGCGCAAAGTATATGTTCGACATAGACGTTTTAGATAATTCAGGTAATAACCGAAGGGCCTACTTCAGGTCAGTCTGTAGTCCTTTGAGTGATGGCAGTACTGCCTTCGACGATAACAAATCCTTCATATACATCGATTATGACCAGATTAGGTTTATGATCACAACAGACTTCACGTATAGAGTACGTGTTATGCAAGGATGATCGCATTGTCTGTCATCAAGTACAGGGTATAGCAAAAGTACCGGAATGACAGAATAACTCGGTGGGAGAGCATTTTAGAGAAAAATGTTAAATACAAACGTTTCAAGATTTCTCTCTGGCCCCCATTCATCCCATTTCAAAAATCACCTTGACCTTGAAATGATCTTCAAGGTCAAGGTCAATGACAAGGTCACCATCGGATAGCCAGGGAGAAATTCTTAAATTTTTGTATATAACATTTTTCTCTCAAATGCTCTCGCCGAGTTATTCTGCCGTTCCTGTACTTTTGTTAGTTTGACCTTGTGGGGGGCCCCAAGGTCAAAAGATAGGGGTCATATCTGAACGTAAAATTTTCCGCTCTTCATTTCTGGGGTCAAAAGTATTTGAAAAATTACATTTGACCTTGAAATGATATTCAAGGTCAATGTCAAGGTCACCATCGGATAGCCAGGGAGAAATCCTGAATCTTTTGTATTTAACATTTTTCTCTAAAATGCTCTCCTGCCGAGTTATTCTGCTGTTCCGGTACTTTTGCTATACCCTGTATATTAGTTTCTAAGATCAAGTGATATCTATATTTATACTGAAATATTTGTCTTTCATTGACATTTTTTATAAAGAGGGTTCTATAGCAAATAGGCAACCAGCAATACATTTTTATATATTTTATTACACAGTTTGTCTAAATATGAATTAATGCACAAATGTCAGACTTTCACCCATTTTAACGTACATTTTGTATAAAATAGATTTCGTTTGAAACTCAGATTACTTTTTGGTGTAAAGAAATTTGTAATTTACGATGTTCAAGAGCGGAAAATTTCAAATTTCATTACAACAAAAAGTAATGTGAGTTTCAAACGAAGTCCATTTTACAGAAAATCTGCATTAAAATGGGGGAAAGTCTGTTATTTGTGCATTAATTCATATTTAGACGAACTGTGTAATAAAATCTATAAAAATGTATCACTGGTTGCCTATTGCTATAGGGCCCTCTTAATACCTATTATAGTTCAAGAGCACACGGCAAAAACGATGGAAGTCACTTTTATTTCATTTGCTACAAAATGAATTTTAAAGTTCAAAACTAAAAAAAAATGGCCAACCAATAGAGATTTTTTGGCACACTTAAATATTAAAACAAATTTCATGTATTTGAAAAATATTTAGTAAATGAAAACCCTTTTTTCCCCAGCATAGTCGTGAACAACTTTTTTTTAAACAATAAAAACTGCAAAAAAAATGAATTTTTTAGTATTTTTATAATATCTCAAAAAATAATAGAGAATAAAAAACCTATAAGATGGTTTTTTGTGCGACCCGATCGGTTCATGTTTTACAGAGAAAATCCGGAAAAACCTCTAAAATAGACCTTTTTTCAAAAATTCATAACTCGGTCAAATTTGAAGCTGGAAAAACAATATTGCAGAAAATGACAAATAATATGTAGTTTAATCGTACGCAAGATGGTTTCTGTCCGATGCATAGTTTTTGCACAATTGCATTATAAACAAATTGGGGTCTTTTTTGCACAGCGTAGCGATTTATTAAAAATGGTCCGATTTAAATTCTGAACACGGCATCTGAAAGTAGACGATAAAATCTCCAATTTATATATCTCGGATTTTTGCCTGGGCGATGGGAAATATGCTAAAAATGCCTTTGAAAGTCGCCCGAAACGGTCGAAAGTACGCTCAAGTCAGAGTCCTCCGCTCCCACCGCTACCCGACACTGGCTCAAGCATACTTTCGATCGTTTCGAGCGACTTTCAAGGGCATTTTTAACATATTTCCCATCATACAGGCAAAAATCTGAGATATATAAATTGGGGATTTATTTAAATCGGACCGTTTTTGCTAAATCGCCAAGCTGTGCAAAAAAAGACCCTAATTTGTTATAATGCAATTGTGAAAAACTATGCATCGGGCAGAAACCATCTTGTACACGATTAAACTACATATTATTATCAGTCATTTTCCGCAAGATTGTTTTTCCAGCTTCAAATTTGCAGTTATGAATTTTTGAAAAAAGGTCTATTTTAGAGGTTTTTCCAGATTTTCTCTGTAAAATATGAACCGATCGGGTTGCGCAAAAAACATTTTATAGTTTTTTTGTTCTCTACAAAAGTCCTATTGAGAGTAAGACGATTCCATCATTATTTTTCGAGATTATTATAAAAAAACCAAAAAAATATCATTTTTTTGCAGTTTTTATTGGGTTAAAAAAAAATTGGAAATCACTTGGGTTTTCATTTACTAAGTATTTTTCAAAAGGAAATACATGAAATTTGCTGTAAAACAGCCTCATTTTTCGCTGTATTGGTTGGCCTATTAGGATATCATACAATTTAAATTTTAAATCAAAATTTTTGTCAACAGATATTGATTTTTCGGTGAAATCGATAAAAGGACCACTATGATTTTTCAATTTTCTTTATTTTTTATTATTTGAACGATAGTACACAAAAAAATGACAAAAACGACGTGTCATTAAAAAAACAGCAAAAACAATAAAAATCCAAAATAAAGTAATAAAGCCCTAACTGAGTAAATATAAAATGATGCAAAAGTGAAATAACTTCCTCTGATCCCTTAGCTGCTATATTTTCGGGGTAACAATAAAAGTAGGCATCGACGGTAGACAGCACATGAATATTAAAAGATCAGAAAGTAAGTTGTCTTTTATAATAATTGTCATTGTAAATGTTAATATTTTTACGAATTAAAGATTATTATTATTATTTTTATTATAATACACGTCGTTGTTTGTAATGTTTCGTATTGAGAGGTTCTTCTGGAAATCCATCGCTGTTACTTCAAACTCATTACTCTTCACACTTTTCTTTTACGATTGTAAAACACTTCAGCCTTTCGCAAGTGCAGTTCATGTTCCGTTGAAGTATTTTCGCATTATTTTCTGGCATGGTTGAGTCGTTTTTATTCTTCAATAATGCTGTTTTTTCTGCACTGTGTCACTAATACTGCAGGTATCACTGTGTGGATACCCAAATTTAATGTTGAACTTATTGTTAAAAACTGCGATAAAACTCGTACGAAACATCAGGAAGATTTAAATCTTTGACATATCGTACATTTTCTTTATTGCTAGATTGTCTGGTAGGTAAATACACGACAGCAGATTCTTTTCGACTGTAGTGGCTCTGCCTGCCTCTAAAGGAACTAATGTGATCTTTTACAGCCACAAAGGTGCCAGGAGGCTTTGCATAATGCACATTTTTATATTTACCCTTCATATCTTTAAACGTATTACCAGTTTTTTTAGAATTGTTTGTAGGCAACGTCGCACTAATTCCATGTAATGAAACAAAATCCTTCGTGCAAATGGGCACTTCAGTCCAGTTAACTATGGTTATGCTTAACTCTTTATAAAAATATGCTATATCGCAAAACTTGGCTTCATTTTCATATTTTCTTGATCTGCAGTTCTTTATTGAAGTGATGGATACAAGACCAATTAAGTAGCTGTTCTGCTCATCTTTCATCATGGTATATCTTTCTAAAAGTTCAATATTTTACAATCGTACAGCGACCGCGTAGAAACACCTACAACGTTTTTGCTGTGTTTCGCACAGACAGCGTTTTCTACTGAATGAGATTATTTGTTTCGTGAATAACTTTTAGACTATCAGCGTTATTGCCAAGCAGTCCGGCCTCTCGATTATACTTTTTACAAGCATTTTTTGGTACTAATATCCTATTATACCGTAAAAATCAATTTTCAGCATTTTTGCCGTGCAGCCTTCAGTTGTTTTGTTTATAATATTTTTTCATTTTTTTAAATGCACTTTATGACTAAAATCAATTTGTTGTAATGTTAATGTGTAATACTAAAAAATACATTATGTGAACTTGCTCACTTGCGAAATTTTTGCTCACTATGGTACAAATCTGCCAAAGCAATAAATATTTTGAAAATGTGTCTTTGAAATGTTTAAATGGGTTGCGCCACTCTAGAGGTTAGAGATAAGGTAATTTTCGGGAATTTTCAAGGAATAATCAATACAAGCTATATTGACAGGAACAAAACATCTTTATGTACAGGGTGGTTGATTTTCGATAGATACAAAAAATCTGATATCGATGTCCCATCCTCTTCTTTTGAGTTTACTTCGCTGATACCAAAATATCTTGGCTAACTTGATTAGTTTTAGATATATAGGGTTTTTTTGAAAAATTATATATATTAGTTCTAATTTTTATGAGGAAGCTATTAACGTACTCAGATTTTTTACAAATCGCACAGTTTTTCCGATATTACATAAACCTAGTACATTAAACATTTTAAATATTAAATAAAATACCCTGTATTTGGCCATCCCCTTAAATAGCATTTTTTTTACTTTTTCAGCCATATATAATAGATACATTTTATTTGCCTAAATGAAGAAAAATGCAAAAAATGTACTTATAGGTATTTTTTCAGTTGGCCATGTGATTTATTTAATATTCATCTTTTGTTTAATATTAACAGCTAATTTATTTTTGACTGATTGAAAACTTGTTGAACGACTATTACTTGGTTTTATAAATTTTTAAAGGTGTTCTATTTAAAAAAAAACCTGTTTATGAAATATCGGAAAAACTGTGCAATTTGTAAAAAATCTCATAAAAAATAGAACAAATAATGTTCAAACTTTTTTCTAAATTCAATCAAGTTAGCCAAGGTTTTGTGATACCAGCAAAGTAAACTCAAAAAAAGAGGACGGAACATCGATATCAGATTTTTTTTATATTTATCACCGTTTCGGCTATACTCTATAAAACTATGGAAAATCAACCACTCTATACATGTTTTCAGATAGTATTATGAATTTTTTCAAAGATTTGAATTCAAAATGGCGACTGTAGGTGATGGCAAGTAACGACATTTTTCTTCAAAGAACTGTTCTTGGAACAAAAAAACAAAAATTTTCTGATATTAAACTAAAAGGTAAAGAACATCCTAGGGAAATTAAAAAATATTAATAATTGTTGATTTAGTGAACATTTAAAAAAATATATTGAAAAAAGACGGAAAATTTTGCATTAAATTGTTAATAACAATGAAAATTGTTAACCAATTGAAAAACCTCTACGATGTTCCCTGAATTGTGAAGCTCTACAAATTTTCAAGTCCATTCATTGAAAACTTTTCGAGTTACGTTTCTGGTAAAAGTGGTTTCTCGAAAAACACTTTTGAAATATTTATTACCATTCAGCATAAGAAATCGATTTTTCAAAATTCTAGAATGGCTTTACCCTTTAATACCCGCTTTTTTAAATTTACAAATGATTTTTATCTCTATATATATATATTTTTGTATGCCAATTTGAATACAAAATGTATTAATGGAGAAATATACAGAGCCTTTATGAATGTTTACAAGCCATGGGACTGCTGAGCTTAGGCAACCCAACATTGCGCAACTGGTACTGTTTACGAAAAATCCATAAATATTGGCGTCACCAATGTTACTGATTCGTTTACGATGAACTGTGACAAACCGTTACGCCTGTGCTCGAGGTAATGCGATCGCTGATGGGTTGAATAGAATCTCATGAAAAATTACATCGATTGCAGCCAGTAAAACAGAATGTTGTGTTTTAATGTATTGAAGGAAATAAAACAACTGTTTCAAACATGACTACTGATCACATGGCTTGTAATAATTTATGAAGGTTCTCGGTATATGGATGTAAATTTTGTCATAGAAGTTTCAGAAAGTAGGAAACATTTCTAAATATTTAGTATTTTATTACTTTTTAAATATTAATTAAATCTATTTTTAAGTATACCTACACAATTATTAAGATTCAAATATTTCATTTTAAATTTCTAGGTTATATTAGGTAATGTATTCTTGGTTTAACTTATCTGCTTCATACTGTTATCTAGTTTTGACTAAGTATTAGATTTAAAGTTGTCAAGACTCAAGAATCGTATATACAATTCTTGGCGAAGACTCACTTTTTTTTAATCACAAAATTTATATTATATCAATTGTGCCAAGTTAAGTTTTCTGACTAACTAGATTATAGACATAGTATTTTGTACATTTACCTATTAATAAACATAATAGAATATGACAATATAGTTTAGTTTAACCATATCTCCCTTGAAGATAGATCTGTCAAACCATCGGCTGGTGAAAATAGAAGTGGTCATAATTTTATAAATAAACATCGAACCCATATTATTTTTGGAGATGATTTCTAGGCTCACAAAGAGAACTTTCGTGAGGGCAAAATTTCAAATGAAATTTGTGGAATAAGAATTTTAAAAAATAGGAATGTCAAAAAAGGTAGCACATATACAGGCTGATTCAAAATTCAGTACAAAGAATTTAGGGGCGTATTTTTGAGGTCAAAATAAGACTTTTTTCCTATAAACGTGAGTTCAAAGTAAATTTTAAAATTTTTCACCATAGTGATGAATAGTTATAAAATTTGAAAATATGGTGTGCATTTAACTCTGCGTCAGCCAATATCTCGGAAACCTGAGAGATTTCAACCAAGTATACTTTTTTTACTTAAAATTGACAGGTTAATGAACGCACTAAACAAAACGTTAATGTACAGGATAACCCAAAAGGTAGGGCCAATCTAATTCAAGCATACCTTTATAGGTGGCGCCCTCTACAAGCAGCGTCAAAAGTAATGACATTTAAATTTAGCATCCTAAAAAACCTCTTTACCCTAGGTTTTATGTGAACATTCTATTTAAAAATTGTTCCTAAAAAAATAGAAAAAAATTAAAACCGTTAACACCCTGTATATCGAAAACTAAGCATTTGTGGGCCCACGTTTATAGGAAAAAAGTCTTATTTTGATCTCAAAAATATGCCATTGTACTGAATTTTGAATCGGTCTGTTCTGTATAATAGTTTTTCTATTTTTCCAAAATATTAATTTTTTAAGTTACATAGTTATAAATTTAAAAAAATGATGAGTTGATTTAAAATTTAAATAGTTATTACTTTGAAGAAAATTTAATTTTGTGGAAAATAAAAGACCTATCGTATCTATCAATCGATTATAAAAAAAATATTGCACATATACATGCAACCCTTTTCAAAATCACAGAGGGTAACCCCCTCCTATTTTAATTTCTTATTTCGCAAATGTTATTCAAAACTTTTTCATCAAGGAAGTCCTCTATCGGCTCACAAATACGTAAAATATATACGAATACGTTTATAAAGGCTTGAGTTTGGCATAAACACAGGGCCGTTCCTGGGCAGTGTGCTGGTGGTGCCCCGGCACCAGGGCGGCCGAGTTACAAGGGCGGCCAAAATTCAACTTTTCTGTTCTGGTCTTCCTCAGATTCCTAACTAAAAATATTTAAACAATAGCAGCAAAGACTGCAAAAGATAAAATGTATATTAATTTTCGTCTTATAAATAATGTAGTATACACTGTTTTAAAATACACTTTTTTTATAAATTAATGCAAAAAATTAAAGGGTCAAAAGAATTTCCGAAATTTTTCCGTGATTTTTGACAGACTGTATTTACGTGAAAAATGGTCGCATCGGGAATTAAAAAAAACATTTTGAAGCTCTAAGATTCTAGTTTTTGAGATATTTCGGTTGAAAATTTTTAGTAGCTACGGTTATCGACGGTTCTAGGAAATAGCGCGATAAATTTTTTTTTCAAATTTTCCTTTTTTTCATAAATTTAAATGTTATTTGCGGTAAACGTGAAAAAACCGCAAACACTTTTTTCCCATTTTAATCATAATATGAAATGTTTAAACTCAAAAAGCGTGACCCTTTAATTTTTTTCAAAAGTGACTATTTGTAACAAACAAACGGGTCGCTAAATCGAGATGAAACTTCACAGGGTGCTTCTGAGTATATCGAACTGTAAAAGTCATGCCTTAACATTAGTCATTTCGTGAATATTTCTAATTTGGCTGTCAATTTTCTAAAAAACCATAAATTACCCTTTTCTCCTGTTTTTTTTTTAAATCGTGAAAAAGATGAAAAAATGTTTTTTCCGAAAAGTTACGGCAGCATGTTATAGGAAATTTATTCCAGTTTTCAAAACTGCCTCTCGACTCTCTGTACGATCATTTGTCGCCGAGATATCGATGATTGAGGACGAAAGGATCCTTTTCCATTAAAAGTCCGATATTTCGATGAAAAATGGTCGTATCGAAATTTAAAAAAAAAGAAATTGAAGCTGAATAAACTTGCTATCTGGTCCATGCAATGGCTAAGCTGAAAAAAAATTTCCAAGTCCGTGGACTGGAAAAAAACAGAAAATTTGCAAATTTTTTTTGTCGCGCTATTTCTTAGAATTGCACGACAACCGTAGCACCTAAACAATTTCGACCGAAATATCTAAAAACTAGAATCTTAGAGCTTCAAAATGCTATTTTTTAATTCCTGATACGACTATTTTTTACCTAAATAGTTTGTCAAAAATCACGGAAAAATTTCGGAAATTCCTTTGACCCTTTAATTTTTTGCATTAGTTTAAAAAAAATGTAAAATCACGGATATTTTAAAAATGTCTTTCTTAAACGTTTACGAACAAGTGAACGCCTAATTACTAAACACAGAACCCGAGCGAAACGAATGCTGAGTGCTAAGATTACAATAATTATTACCTACTTATCGTCAGATTTACGACGTTTAGACAGCTCAAAATTTTTATATTCTATATTTTGTGAATACCTCTCATACTAGTCGTAATACGAAGTTCCTGTTTTCCATTGAGTTACCATATTAGTTTTAGAGCTTTTGATTATTATTTTTGTTATGACTTTTTAGATTATATTTTACAGCAGAATATTAAAGTTTGTTAGTGCAAAAATAAATCGATTTGTATTTCTAATAACACACCTCCATCATAGTCATCTCTAATCCCTGATATTAATTAATGTCATAATGATATGATAGATACATACTACGGGGTAGGGGCGGCCAATTTTTCTATGCACCAGGGCGGCAAGTAACCCAAGAACGGCCCTGCATAAACATACCATCAAAGCGCAATGCTCAGTTAATTTTTAAGAAAAAAAAGTTAACTTAGCGAGAAAAGTTTTAAACCGGTCCTGTAAATAATTTCCTACGTGGTATATGTTGAACAGATAAATCGTTGTTTTGATAAATATTATCATTGTTTCGTATTCTACGTAGCTTTCTATGCATGTACATATTTGATAAATTTAATTATTGTTTGATGTTGGTGATATTTGTTAATATTTTCTTTAAGTTGGTATGACAGTCATGGTACTTTATCGTAAGTCGTAAGTTTTACAATATAAGCTACAGGACTACATGTTTTATTGTTTGTCATTATAATAAATTCGTGTTGCTGATAATATATTTGGTGAAATAACTGCATATTGTATGCTTAGGATTGGTAGTGTACAAAGCCGGGTAAGTCGGAAATACATATTTAAATTTAAGTTACATCGAGTGGTATTTTACTTCCTCTTTTTCACTTATCAGTCTCATCCTCATCACTTAACTAGGGGATTCCCAGGTTTTTCAGGGTTAAAAATAATAATTATTTATTGACTACCAAATAACTAATGAACCTTTAATTACACAATTAATAGGTGCTAACAAATAATAACATTGATTATTATTCTCCATTATCTATTATAAACGATATTTTACAATTTACAGGATGACAGAAATTATTTTAAAAAACGATTTTTGTTTGGCGAGATATATTTTTTAATATATTGTAGGAAAATCTATCTGTGAGGCTGTTTTGTGTCCAGTAATTGACATTAAAATTAGCAAAATATTTATAAAATTACACATAACATCTTTAATGTATTGTTGCATAAAAAACATTATTTTCAATAAATTTTNAGTCTTTTGCATGATTAACCTCATTTTCTGCTGCACATAAATTCCTGGCTTTTTTGTTAGTACATCCCTGTTTAGCGCAATAAAATTTCACTGAATACAATCCTGACTTTCTATACCAAAAGTGGGGGATTTATGTCATTCAAGGTCCCTGACAAAAGACATCAATGATCAAAGGTGCCGACAACGAGATATAATTCTGGTTGTTTTATCTTCTGTGCTCCAGATCTTTTCTTCTTATTCAACTAATAAGTAAATTTGCGCGGAATTTTAAATTTGTAAAACAGGTTCCGTTACGACAATATTAAATATGTTATACAAAATAAAGTAAGACTGCATAGAGACCCAAAATTATAGGAAGTCCACATATGCTATGAGCAATAAAGCGTGCGGTGAATGCGGTTTCAATGGTGTATCATTTTAGAGAAAGTAGATAAGTCGATTTTCACTTTATTTTAAACGTATTAAACTAACTCAAATAAATTTAATAATTAAAAAAACATCCTGTCAAATGAAGTCGAAGTTCATTGTTATTATTGTAACTTGTAAAAATTAAGGTTTGATATATTTATGGGGCTTACTCCCTACTATTGTGGAACTCTGGTGTGAGCCGGAAGAAAAGGACTTGAATTTAAATAAATAAACATTAATTTTAAAGCTTTAGTAGTTAACTTTTAATCTCAAGGGAATATATTGAATCAGTTGGAATGGCAATTATTTATTAGTTTTATGCCACATGAAGTGTCCAGTAATTGACATTAAAATTAGCAAAATATTTATAAAATTACACATAACATCTTTAATGTATTGTTGCATAAAAAACATTATTTTCAATAAATTTTCACCAAATAATACAAAAAAAAACACACAAAATATCTAATAACAAGGGGTTCAGCTACATGCCAAACTATTATTCAAACTTGAAATATACAGAACGGGGGGGGGGGGGCTTAGTGGTACATAATTATACGGAGGCTACATTTGATATTTTGAAAAAAAAAAAAAGAAAGATAGTGATCAAGCTGGTAAAGTAAGTAAAAACATATAGTATTCTGTTTAGAGTTTATCAACTCCCAAATAAGTCCCTCTGCACTACGAATATGCCATTGTTGTGTGCAGTTGTTTGAGTATGTAGTAGTGATGTAACGAATATTCGCATTCAAATTCGTGAATTTTGTTGACATTCGTATTCGCAATGTTTTTGCGAATATCAGAAAAAATTATATCTTTTAATTAATGTGAAAAAAAAAAAATATTAATTAAGACAAAATATATTATTTTTTTAGCATTTTTATTTAAAAACTTTTTTTTAGGTACTCCTTTTTTAAAAATAACTTACGCAGGTAACCTTGCAGTTATTTCTTGTGTCAGCGTTTGATAACATTAGGTAATGGAGGTTTAGATTTAGTATTATAAATAAACAGTAAAACGGAAAAAATATAATTTAAAGGAACAAAAACATATTCTTCTCTTAAATGTTTATCAATCTTTACTTACACATTATTTTGAATTTAAGTTTTATGTAATCAACTTCTTTAAAGAAACTGAATATATTAATTTAAACAAACAAAAACGTTATTCTTCTCTTTAATTTTTACCCCAATACTTTAACATTATTTTTATTTTTGATCAACTTCTTTTAAACAAAAAAAATAGTCATCTAAACAAACAAAAAAGTTATCCTATTTCTTCTTATTTTTAAATTTTCAACAAGTTGATAATTCAACTGGAGTGGAGGAATATTAAAATTCGAAAATATAAGTTGTAAATAACTTCTGTATTGTTTTTTTTTTAAATTCCAATCTATATAAATGTAATATTTGCTTATGAAATATAATTATGTGCATGTAAGTATATAGTATCAACAAAAAATTCATTATCTCACTCTCGATGACGTGTTCTCGCCACAAAAATACTGCCACAGTATTGGTCAGTTCAAGGTCAGAGTTTATACGCTACCTCCCTTTTACTGATCGTGGTACGCAGTATACGCAAGTATTTTTATTTATTTTTTATTATGGATATTTATTAAAAAAAAATAATTAATTTGAAATCATGATTTAGTTTTACTTACAATTAGTAACTTATGCCTATCCACGTGCGAATATTAGTTAATATTTAATAGTTGCAAAAAAATATGTTTTTTAAAACACTCGAAAATTTATAATGTTTGGTGCTTGTTCCCATAGACAACAAAAAAATAAAGTGACTTTAAAGTAACATGTCCAAAGTCATACAAAAGTTATTTTTCATTGCAATTTAGCTTCTGTCACTCCATTAGTTTCATACAGTTGACTTAAAACGATAAATAACAACTGGCAACATTGATAAGCACACACGGCGTGCATATACATCCAAATTCGAGAGTTGCCCAGTAGCGGCGTAGACAAAAAATTAGTATTCTGGGGAACACGTACTGCTCCCTCAAAAAAAACTCCCATTTAAAGTTACGCTCTATATATTATGATATAGACATTGTTCCACTTCTACTCGTAGATTGTGATATACATATGCAATTTTTAAATAAACTTTATTTCTGAAAGGACAAAATTGCAATTACTGGTATAGTAGCAATTAGTGTTGCACTAACCCTGTAGTCTTTTATACCATTTTTCAGCCGAACGGATTGATTCTATTATCATTTCACAGATACATAATGCCACTGAACTATGAAATTCCGAATGAAGACATGGACGGCCTGGTGTGTTCCTCTTGTAACAACTACCTCTCAGTTTTTCCAATTTACCTGACAAACGATAACTCTGCCGTCTGCGGCCGCTGCACCCATTCCAACAAAGACTTCATCCGCGACGTAGCTTACGAAGCTATCGCCGAGTTCCTGCAATTCCCCTGCTGCTACAAGAGGAACGGTTGCGAAGAGCGACTATCACCACACAAACTTGAAGAGCACGAACCAGCGTGTCTTTTCCGGATATTGGAATGCCCTAGTAAGGCTTACACTAGGTGCAAATGGCTGGGACACCGTACTGATCTAATTAAGCACTTTGAGGAAAATCATTTGCACCTGTTGCTGAAGACTGGCGAATTTAAACTGAATTTAGACAGTTCTGTTAAGGAAAACCTCCTTAAGACTTTTGAGGACGAGTTGTTCATCGTCAAAAAAGACTTTGACGCACGTAAACAAAATTTTTCTTGCTCTGTGGAACGGTTTGCAGCTCAGTCAAATTCCAACCGTTACAGCTACCTCGTAAAACTTTTAAGCGATGATAGAGAATCCTGGTGCAAATTACCAGTGAAAACTACGGAAAATGGGGAAACCGTAACTGCGGACGATGATTGTATAAAACTAAAGTTAAACTGTCCCGCATTCATTGTTGTTCAAATTGAAATTTTCAAATCAGATAATACAAAGCAGGAATATACTGTAGAGAAAACTGTTAGCTTGGAGAAAAATGCTGATCTAGATTGGGAAGTTTTAAACGAATTAGTGTGTCCAGTTTGTTACATTATCATATCTTCTGAAATCTACCAATGCACTGGTGGTCACAGTATTTGTAACGAGTGTAAACCTGTCGTAAAAAATTGTCCCTTGTGCAGAAAGGACGTTTTAGACACAAGAAATTACGCTTTGGAAAAACTGATACCGTTTCTGACATACCCTTGTAAGTTTCATAAGGATGGCTGCACTTACACTTCCAAATGCAAGGAGATTAAGAACCATGAAGAGAACTGCAATTTTGGTCCCTTTGAATGTCCCTTGAAGGAAAATTGTCAAGTGAAAATTGACAGGTCTCGCATTGTTGACCATTTTGAAAGGTACCACCGTCATTTGATATTAAAATCAAACAGAATTACTAGCCCTTTTGATGTGGCTGAAATGAGAGAATGCTTGTACTTGATGAAATTTTTGAACAACATATTTTTGGTTCAATACAAATACACGAACAGGCAATTTTACTGGACCGTACAGTTGATAGGAACTGCTGAAGATTGTAAAAAGTTTAAATTCGACATAGATGTTATTGACAACTCTAAAAGAAAGTTGAGGTGCTACATGAAAGGTTTCTGTGTACCAATCCAAGAGAAGATTGATTTTGAGAACCCTCTTAAGTACATCATGTTGACTTATGAACAGTTGCAACCTATGATTACTACCACATTAGACTATAATATTCATATTGTCAAGGAGTGAAATAACAAGGCAAACATATTTTCAAAAAAATAGCGGTATTTTGTCCTAGTATTTTTGTCATATTTTGTTTACTTTCTTTATATTAAATGTTCAAATTTTTATCCAAATAAATATTTTACCTGGAAAGTTATTACAATGAAATAAAATAAAGATAAAACTTGTTTCGCAAATTACTCATTTATTTAGTGATTCGTGTTGATTGATTTGTACCTACAGTTTAACTATACTCCGCGGTCGAAATTATAGAGAGTGACTCATCGCTAGCTTTCGGACTAGTAAGGGGGATGAAGCGTGCCGGGAACGAAAATCCATTGGCGTGTCTGCGTAAAAGGCAACAAGATATAGAAAATATTGAAAAAGATAATAAAACATAACATCTAATATTTTTTACGGTTTGCTATAACCGGCACTTTGATCAATTTTAATTATTACAGCATTTTAAAACGTCCCAGTTGTGTTTTTTTAATTTATAAATTTATTATAGCCATGGAATTAGACCCCTCGTCTACGCTTATGCTATGACGTTTCTCAGTACGGATAAATCAAGTCCGTTTACAGCCATTAAAAAAGCATTTCCTTATTCCCTACCAAGTGCAAAAGACAGAGATAGAATATAGATCGACGTTCAGTGTAACTTAATCTATAGACGAGTACAGATTCTATCGCTGTGCGTAGCGAGCGGCACAAAGATAAATAATATTGAACCGTATAAAAATCATTTTATATTTTATACGCATTATGGTAATAGTGTTTTTATATTATGTCTGAGTCACTCTCTATAATTTCTATCGCGGAGTATAGAATAAGTGATGAACACCCGAATAAATATCTATACAGAGTGTAATAAAAATAAGGTTACAAACTTCGCCAGCAGATAGAACACTTAAAATTCGTAGTGTTACTTCATATAAAATTTTACAGGTAGTTTAGAAATTCACCCATTTTTTTTCAGTGGCGTAGAAATATTTAAGAAAAAAGGGGTCCGATTCCTCCATATCTCCATACCTGGATTACGCTCTTAATCATTGAAGGCTTCAGGTTATGAAGGGTGTGTAGTGTAGTATTCGTACCAAATTTGGGATTATTCCCTCCTACCCTTTTCAAAATATTAGAAAAAAAAATTAATTTTTCAACACCCTGAATCTCACCAAGGGAGCACTTTAGGCAAAAATTTTATATGAAGTACCCCTACTAATTTCTAGTGTTCTATCTGCCTTATTTTTGTTACACCTCTGATAAAGTCATTTAAATTGTCAAGCAGATACTTAATATGGTCGGATGTACATATATCTTTTATAAATATGGGAAAGAGTTATTTTTTTTTTTTCGATTTTCTACCAAGTTATAAAACAGAAAATACCTAATGCTACCAATATTTTCAGCAGGTCCAAATACGTAAACTTCGATCTTTTTATACCTATAGATTTTAGACACTTTCATACTTTGGAAATTTTCCTGAAATCTTCTATTATAAATACATATTTACAGAATTTGCCACCAAACCAACTTTTGATACATTGGAAATTAATGTAGTTATGGATAAAATGTATGTGTATGTATGTATTGTATATTTAAAGCAGCTTACGATAACTCATTTTATGAAAATTAAAAATCGCCTTGCAACTCGAAAACAATAAAACTAAATGTACCACCCTATATAATATATTTCTTACACAATCACAAAACAACTATGAAAACCGCCAAAAACCTTTGAAATTAATTTGTCGCGCCCACACACACAAATTCATACGAGACTTAAATCACTCCGATCGGGATATCCCTACACCCAGCGCCGCGACCGAACATTTGTTATACTTCGAAAGTTTATACTGTCTTATACACATACATATATACATTTTCCAAACTAGCGTTGCCTTAACATTTACAAAATTAAAATTTTTTGTATAGGAAAAACCTAAATTTATTTCGAAAATCCGTTTTTAGCTACGGTTTAAGCCAAATTAGTCAATATTTTAATATAAAAAGCAAATACAGTGCTCATTTCGTAGATCGCACTGTATACAATTTATGGCTACATCGTGTAACATGTTATAAATGTTATATGTTAATTGAATTGAAACGCCGCGGCGCCAAGTCTCGACGGTGATTCCAGATCAAAGCCAACTTGATGCAGGGCGGCTCAACCCTTCGCCTTGGCTCCTTTGACGCTGGCCTCTTTATCCATAACTTTGCGATATGTTGGGGTAAGTATTCATTGTACAAGGCATCTTTGAGTAACTCCGTGATCGTCTCTGATAATGTAAGGGTAATAAAAGTACTCACCGCAAGGCGAACATTAAAGATTAACTTTTATGACCCCGATACAGTTTTTGTTTATTTATTGACTAAACAATTGCCTAGTTTTCTAGAATCCTTTCTATAAACTTCTTAGCGAACTTTAGCTATACCGTTCTATTAAAATCTTGCTAAACTTTTTAATGATGTTACTGGAAACAACTGTTTTATTTGTCCGCCTTTTATTTTAAATGCTTTTGTCCATGTATCGCAATTGGCGAACGAAGGTCATTGTCAGTAATCATGATTGTAATTTTATAATAACAGTTTTTAAGGATTGTCAGCAGAATGCGTGACGATCCTATCATTCATTTCTACCAAAACTAAAAATGCAAGACGGTTTTAGGTGGATTGTAGATTAGATAATTGCAAATTCGAATTCAAATTTCCCGCTTTTATTCTGACACTTTCCTTTTTATCCACAAGGACATCTAAAATATCCGCTCTTCCAGTAATCACCTACACAACACATTGACAACCCTGATTATGACAAAAATACTAGTAGACTAGGCGGTATCTGTTTTGGTTTGGGTGAATCGTAATATCCACGGAGATTTTTGTCTTTTTGGCTTTCAAATATCACTAGAAATGAACGTGGGCTTAACTTTTGGCGGCACATTATGTTAAAAAAATTCGAAAAATGTCATATTTTTCTTCCTATTTAAATATATATCTTTTCAAGAGTTGATTTTAGGCGAAAATGGTAGAGGAAAAAAATNAATTAGTCAATATTTTAATATAAAAAGCAAATACAGTGCTCATTTCGTAGATCGCACTGTATACAATTTATGGCTACATCGTGTAACATGTTATAAATGTTATATGTTAATTGAATTGAAACGCCGCGGCGCCAAGTCTCGACGGTGATTCCAGATCAAAGCCAACTTGATGCAGGGCGGCTCAACCCTTCGCCTTGGCTCCTTTGACGATGGCCTCTTTATCCATAACTTTGCGATATGTTGGGGTAAGTATTCATTGTACAAGGCATCTTTGAGTAATTCCGTGATCGTCTCTGATAATATAAGGGTATTAAAAGTATTCACCGCAAGGCGAACATTAAAGATTAACTTTTATGACCCCGATACAGTTTTTGTTTATTTATTGACTAAACAATTGCCTAGTTTTCTAGAATCCTTTCTATAATCTTCTTAGCGAACTTTAGCTATACAGTTCTATTAAAATCTTGCTAAACTTTTTAATGCTATTACTGGAAACAACTGTTTTATTTGTCCGCCTTTTATTTTAAATGCTTTTGTCCATGTATCGCAATTGGCGAACGAAGGTCATTGTCAGTAATCATGATTGTAATTTTATAATAACAGTTTTTAAGGATTGTCAGCAAAATGCGTGACGATCCTATCATTCATTTCTACCAAAACTAAAAATGCAAAACGGTTTTAGGTGGATTGTAGATTAGATAATTGAAAATTCGAATTCGAATTCGAATTTCCCGCTTTTATTCTCACACTTTCCTTTTTACCCACAAACACATCTAAAATATCCGCTCTTCCAATAATCACCTACACATTGGCAACCCTGATTATGACAAAAATACTAGTAGACTAGGCGGTATCTGTTTTGGTTTGGGTGAATCGTACATCCACGGAGATTTTTGGCTTTTTGGCTTTCAAATATCACTAGAAATGAACGTGGGCTTAACTTTTGGCGGCACAATATGTTAAAAAAAATCGAAAAATCTCATTTTTTCTTCCTATTTAAATATATATATTATCAAGAGTTGATTTTAGGCGAAAATGGAAGAGGAAAAAAATGTTTGTAATTAAATTTTACAAAATATGACTAGCTACAAATCAAATGAATCATGATTATTATTGTAAAAATCGAAAAAATCGACAAAAATGGGGTTAAAAACATTACTTTTTTGGGAATTTTTTTGGGGTTTTTAATTTGGGTATAGGACCTTCATACTTGGCTCAAGAAAAGTTCATATTATGTAGAATCATCCCACTAAACATTTTTCAGTTTCTGACATGTTTCAGAAACGTTTTCATTTTTCTTGAAACGTTTCATAAAAAATCCATGCAACGTTCCGGTAACGTTCTAGAAACCCAAGATGTCCTCCCCAAAATACGTTTCCAATGAAACGTTAAAAAAAATTGGTTTCAGTAACATTCTTTTTATGTTCCATTTATGCCCTCGATATTTTTGTTTTACGTTTCAGTATATTTTCAGAAATGTTTGAGTAACATAATAATTTTATTACCATATTGTTCTCATAATGCTCTCAACTTTAGATCATTTTCATTTCAAAAGCGTTTTTGAAATAGTATAAATAGTGTGAGTATTTTTTTAAATATCTCTAATACATTGTGAATGAC